GGAAAAAGAAACTTTATTTTTTTAGTTTCATTGTCAAATGTGGAGATGTCTTTTTAAAAAAAAAACATGTACGTTATTATAATATTTTGTGTTCTATAATCCAGTTCAGCTTCATTGCAAGCGACATTTTGGTTGTTACCAGTGCTTGATTAGTTATCCTAAAACAGCACAGATAAAGAAGAATGGATGAAGATTTTGAAATTGTTAGGAATTGTCTTAATATTTGGCAGAACTTTTCATGTTTTATCAGATACCATAAAAATCACGGAAAAGTTTTAAAAGCATCGGTAACGTTAGATATATTTGAAATTTGTTGTCACCTGGTCTTTTCCCAATTTTCCTTTTTTTTTTTGTTAAGAAGCTACTCGGAGCGATATATATATATATTTATATGTAAGCTATAAGCTGGAGGGTTTGTATTTGTTTGCAGTTATTTAAACGCAAAATCACCTCAAATGAAATCAAAAAGGTTTAATAAAATTGTCGGACCAATCCACTGACGTGATGAAATCTAATAGTCTGAAGAAGAGATTTCTATGCTGGGTTAAAGAAAAGTAATGTATTTTTCTAGATGTAAAATATGAACGTAAGCTTGAAAGGTTGTAGATTTTGTTTTTTTCATATAAATATACAAAGAATGATACTGAGCTATTACAGATTTGAAAATATATTTCAATCTTGACAATACGAGATATGACAAAAACATTTAGTTGATACTAGATATGACAAAAACACTTAGTTGATACTAGATATGACAAAAACATTAATTTAGTGACTGTAGTGACTGCAGTGTTGCATTTAATTAACTCGCACAAAAATCCGCATTTCTTCATTTATTCTTCTGAAAACAAAACATGGAATTTGTGAAATTTATATAGTTCAATAATGTGTCAATAGAGGACGCTAAAGAGCAACAGAATAAAATAACACAACAATTGTGCCTATTTTTATCAATCTCGACTAATTAAGTGCCAGAAGCATTCATAAACAATTAAGTAATCAAGGAAAGAAATTGTTGCATATTGCATCTGATTTTATCAAACTCTCAAAAAATATACATAAATTTCTAAGGCAAAGTCTGTAAATTAGATACAACTGATGTGTTCTTTTTCGCAAGTTTTGACAAACCCATTGTTAACTGTATGAAACTGTGAAATATAATTTTTTATTCATAAGAAATACTTTTATATTTGTGCATTAATACACCATCATTGTATACTCTATGTGACAAATTAAAGGATTAAAAGAAAAGGTGTCAACAACAACAAAAATTATAAGATCTGCACCTATTAGCCCCAAGAGGCTGAGCTGAAAGTCTGAAGACTTATTACCCTAAAAATCGGATTTCGATACGCGTGGGCATAGCACAGATAGACCATCGTGTAGCTCCGTGCTTAACAGCACACAAACAAGCGAACAAATTGTACATTCAGATAAACAGATAATCCCAGTAAGGTCGACGAAGTTTAAGTCAGGAAATCACTTAGATGAATTGCCGTAGGTACAGAAAAAAGACCCCTAATTAGCTTGCACGTAGATAAATAATTAACAGTCACTTGAAATGTTCATTAAATGTGATAGTATTTCCAATGTTTGCTATCTTTTCTACGAAAAAAACTCAACAAATATAAATTTTTGGATAAATACAGTCAAATTTAATTAATATGGTGCGATGATTTAGAAACATAATGAAACAATAAGTAGTGTTATCACTTTAATTTGTATTATCTAGGGGACTTCCGAAAACATTTTGATATTCACATTCTTTGTTAGATATATATTTCTCTGGTTGTCTCAGAATATTTCTTAGTTATTAAAAAGTTACAATGACTGATCCAGCATCTTGTAGCTTGAGAAGTGAGACTTTTAGCTGTATTCACTTTAGTTTTAAGAGGAGTACAGAGAAGCTTGTGCACAACAAAACAAAAAATCTATATTACCTGCGGCGACAACGGTAAAAACACAGGGTGTTACTTGAGGTCCAATACTGTTTGTCCCAGTACAGGTGAGCGTTCCGAATTCCGATTTGGTTTTGGGTAAATAGGTGAGAGTGCTAGTTGTTCCTCTGCTCGTGAAGTCCGATATGTCAAAACTATCCACGGAGGTATTGAACATCCAGGAGAAAGTTACATTATCTGGATCACTGTCCACTTTACAGATCACTTCAACTGGACGATTTAGAGCAGCACCGTATATGATCTTTTGGCTAGGTTTACAAATAGGCGAGTCTGTGGTAAAAACAAATACTTTAGAAAGAATATATGTTAAAAAGCAAATTCAGTACGTTAACCGTTTAGAAAAAAAAAAAAATATTATTCATATAAGTTCTGTAATTTTTAAATAATACAGTTGAGGAATCTGAAAATAAAATAAAATGTGTTATATATAAGAAAGAACCGTCTTTTTTAAATTTCATACAAGTTTTTATTGGTTGTACATAGTAAAACTTTTGTTTATTTTATTCACAACGTTTTACGAGGTTCACCTGGCATCATCTGGTGAAATACAAGAAATTACTATGTTGTATACAGTTAGTTAGTCGTATGCTTGTAGATTACTATTGGTTATAGATCCTCACGCTATTCTTTTTTAAATTAAATTATGTTGACCCCAGTTCTTGTATTCCATCGATAATGCCAGATGAACCTGGTGAAACGTTGTGGATAAAATAAACAAAAGTTTTACTATGTACAATCGATAAAAACTTGTGTGAAAGTGTATTATACTGAAACGTTGTGGATAAAATAAACAAAAGTTTTACTATGTTCAATCGATAAAAACTTGTGTGAAAGTGTATTATACTGAAACGTTCGACCTCTCTCCTATACTAATTCAGCTTGTAGTTTTGTTTGTATGTCCAGATAACTGTTCCTACAGTTTTGGAGCTAGCAGGACCAAACTTGGTAGGCGAACTAAGAGTAGGTGTCCTTATTTATACGGCGTATACCAAAAACTGTGGAGCTAGCAGGACCAAGCTTGGCAGGCGAACTAAGAGTAGGTGTCCTTATTTATACGGAGTATACCAAAAACTGTGGAGCTAGCAGGACCGAGCTTGGCAGGCGAACTAAGAGTAGGTGTCCTTATTTATACAGCGTATATCAAATGGGGTCAAAACTGTGCCCTGAAGGTCTTACAGGCACGTTGGTGGTCTAATAATCCGAACTTGGCATCAGATCTTGTGTTCCCGATCCGTCCTTGTGATCCAAGAGACGCCATATTTAGCTTTTTATGTATCTCTGTGTATTTGTCCAGCCAACCTTTCCTAGCAGGACCAAACTTAGCATATGTGCTCAGGTATCACGCACAGGTTTTTGTTATTGGGGATAATGGAGGATCTTGATCAGTAAATTTAGGCTTCTATTATTTATGAAGGGTCCACTAAAACAAGGACGATCAGATGTTCTCGAAAACGTTTTAGGAATTATATCTTTATCTGTTTCGAGTAAACTTATCGAAATGTAACCTTGATTTAAATATTTCCAGATCATGCAAATAGCAATAAGCATTAGAACAACAACAACAAAATCTATTCATTTGTATAATTTAGTTTCAAATTTGAATGATGAACAAAACAAAGTATTCAGATTTTATTTCGCATTACAAAATCATATTCAAATATTATTAGGAGAAGATTATTTCTGGTATTTTCTTTAGATGCTTGTGACTTACGATTATCAAGCATCATGAACCTAGGATATTAAAAGAAAGGAATTATTTCATCACTCAAGATAATTAACTGATTAAATACAGAAGGTCATGTTATATCCATTATAAAACTGATTAAAATATTTAATTCTACCTCAAGTAGTAACGATTTTGACTGTCACCTGATATTGAAAAAGATGTCATTCCGAGTAAAAATTACTAGCACCTCTAACAAATAAAGACATATGTAGATAGGATTTCAATTCTTCATCAGAAATTATAAGAAGAAAAAATTCTGTGATTTCTGTGAAATTTGTAGGTTTTTAACTCTTACGGAATTTCGAATGTTTAATTACTATAGCATAAATGATGCGAGATGTTTTCATGTGTGGCTCAAGCGTTTCCTGGAAAGAGTTCTAGATATTTATAGAAATCCTTAATGAAAACACATTATGGTTAAGTGAATTTTAGTTACGGTTGAAACATATAAATTCCAAGTATTTTGCCAAATTCATTTATAATTATGTTAAGCTCGCTTCATTTACTAATCATGCCAGAATATCAGAATATTGGAATGATGTTGACGTGTTGTGTTCTAATCAATATAGTCAGAGACGATTTGCGTTGGTTCTGAAAACACTTTCGTGCTAGAGAATCTCTAGCCTTCATCAATCTTACCAAGGGATATGCATCTAGGTATTGCGTAAGAATAAGTAACCCAAAATGAATTAGGCAAGTGTAATTCAGTAATAAATTACTGTTAAATAATGTGCTACTCGTCAGCGATAGGAGAACAATTTATGAGATCGTTGTTTTGAGATTAGTAATTGAAGAGTGAAAGTGCTATATATATATATATATGAATTAATATTGAAACATTGAAAACTTTTGAAATAATTGCACTTCATCAGAAATTTCCAGTTTTCTTTACAGTGTAGAAATATTGACTATTTTATGAGGAAACGAAGCAAAATTTTATCTTTAATCTTGATAATTATGTTATTTTCAGATTTACGATACGGCTAAGCCAGTTATTTCCTTTATTGACTACTCTCTTTTATCCTTCACATTACTGCTTTCCTGTTTCTTCCATTGTGTTTTTGTAAATGTTAAATAATGTAGATTGAGCAACGTTTCAAGAAACTGTTTATTTTGTAATGTGATGGATGATTGAAGAAAAGAATAACAATATGTGTTTGGTAAATTGTATATCGTTCTGTCATTATTCCCAACAACTTTAAACAAAGTTCACTATACCTTCTTTCCAAATTAACGAATTAGCCTCTGTAGTCATGAAATTTTTTAAAGAAGACAATTAATGAATTAATCTATATACTTATGAACTTTTATGTAAAAAGAGATGAAAAGCTTGTTCTTTGCCAACCCTTAACTCGTTGCTAAAATGTGACCAAGAAAGACTCTAAAGAAACAGGAATTAAAAAAATGTTGTCGTCAGTGCTTTAAAATCTTCTTACTAGATGTTTGTAGTTTATACTTAAACCAAATTTTCAAACGTAACTTTTCACTACTCAGCGGACCCTTAGACTATTGTAATTATTAATTTAGGGCTAGACGTAACATAGTAGTTGGCAACTCAAACTGTGAATCCGAGGGTCTATGGTTGTGTTCTGTTTCCGCAAACACGCGCTCTGCACTATAGATCCGTTGTAAGAGCGACAGTCAAATTCCACTATTCGATTAGATTGGATCAAGAGTTATGGATGACTAGCACAGATAGCCAGCCATTCTGTAGCTTTGTACTAATATCCGAAGCAAGCAAACGAAAAACTTATTCATATTCAACACCAAGGAAAATAGGAATGGATATGAATCACAATTGTTGAAATGTGAACTAAAATGGATTACAGTTATTTTAATTTATCAAGTTCAAATTTTTCGGATACGATTAAAATTCTGTAATAATAGGAAATGCTTACACTGTACCCTGAGGTAGATGGCGGCGCTTTCTTTTTGTCCTATGTTGTTTGTTGCCATGCATGAGTAGCGTCCTCTGGCAAAGCGACTAACTTTTTGAAGAACTAATGTCTGGTTATTTATAATAATTCCAGCCGAGTGATTGGCTGATATCTCTTCATCTTCGTATTTCCAACCGATTTTTGTTACTGGTGGATTAGCCCTGATGTCACATTCGATGTACACGTCACTTCCTTCCTGAATAGGAGCGTGACGTATTTTACTTCCCAACCGCATAGTGAGGTGAGGTTGATCTGTAAGTTCAAATTAAAGTTAAATATTGTTTAAATAAGAAAGTTACAATCTTACAGAATTAAGAAATCATCTCGGACATTTTTTATGCTAACTTTATAATTTCGACAATAATCGTATTAATGTTGAGTGGTAAGCTGCATTAGATTCTTGTATACCTAATACATTCCTAAACTCCAATTCTTAAACATTAACAGATATGTATATAAGATCCTAATTTGCATTTTATAAACTTTTCACCCATATCAACTTGATCAGCTAAGTTTCCGGTTTCATATTCCAAAAATCTCAGTTCTCATTTAAAAAATATTTATTCCGCGTTTTCAAAGAAAATAGTAATGAACAAATATGATAATGATCAGATTCCCAGCTTAAAAAAGCCGATCGTGATAACTCAGAAACGTTTCCACATTCTGTCCTTATAATTAGATTTACGACCTGTGGAACCTGGTATCTTAAATGCTTATACCATGGGCTCAAATCTGTATTGGTTGTTTTTCATAGACATGACAGCATGGTCTGTAATTCATAATTTTTTTTTTCAAATGAAATAAAACGACATTTATTCTGAATCTTTAAACCTCGTAATTATGTTATGTAAAAGATAAAGGCGCAGATCTTATAAACACAGACATTTAAAGGATGTAAATTTAAAATTTAATTGAAACCTTATCTGAACTTATTCATATAAAGGAAGGAAAGATAAGAGGGATTGTGAATAAGGAAAAAGTTTTTAGTCAATTGTCTTGCGAAATCGCAATTTGTAGTAATTAAAACATTTGCTTTCAATTTCATTAACGACATACCTATAATGATTTCGTTTAAGCTGATACAATAACCGCTTTTCACAAACAAACCAGATTATAGAGACATAAGATATCCCAAAAAATAAGTTGTTAATATGTAAGATATTGTACTAAACATATTATTCAACTTTAAGGTTTCTTACAAGATAGTGTTGATCTATAAGTATTTAATACAAAATACAATATAGATCTATAAGATATTGCTGACAGATGCGGTTAGTCGTAAATAACATTGCTATAGCTGTATAATTAAAATTTATTTAGTTATTATTTTTACGAACAAGCATGCGAGATTATGTGGTGTCAGTATATTGCTATATTTTTGAAGTAACGCCACTTTTAACACAATTAATATACTGTAACGTGTATGTAGCCGACATGATTCCCTTTCTGTGAGAGCAATAACTCAGCATAAGCTTTGAATAACAAGAAACATACTTACATCTGACTTCTAATTTCCAACTGTCTTTGATTGTGCTTCCAGAAATATGTCTATTCTCAGCAGAACAATAAAGCATATTCCCATCATCTGCAGCAGATGGCTTAAATGTCAGAGTGCTAAGAGTGGAGTTTCCATTGGCTGGAATAACAGACTTAGCCGATTTTAACTGAGTACCTTCCTTCCACCAAGTGACATCAGCAGGAGGTCTAGAGCCTGCTGTACTGCATTTGATCTTGACAGACTTACCAGCTAACAACGGGTTTCTCTCACCTTCTATGTGTACTTCTAGTGGCCTGACTGTGGATACAAGTCAAAGATCAGTTAAAGAATACATCTAAAGGTGACAAATGTAGGGTCCAAAATTCGAAGCGTGGGATAAATAGACACGTCTAAGGTTCTATTGAAGGTCCAAACTAAAATCATTAAGACAACGAAAAATCGACAACATACTTATGAAAATATATTTACTACCAAAGAAGATTATTATAAAGTGAATATTAAGGAGATGTTATCTGACTTTTTATAAATTCCACTTCGTTTCAGAATGAACTACTGTACTCACAAACAAGTCATCAGCTGTTATATTACACTCTAGTGTAACAGGAACAGCATATACCTACTTGTTTGTCTACAGTTGGGATATGATTGCATGAACCTTGGAAACGTGTTCTTTGATTTTTGTCGCTTGCTCTTTCCAATAATTTAGGGGTAATATTAATGATAACTAGTATTTAGAATTAGTTCCCTTCAGTGCAAACTTCACAATGCATAATTAATGTACTATAAAAATTTAGCGTATAAATAAATTAATTTCAATTGACTTAAAATAAAACTAAGCTCTAATTTTACAACTAAAACACGACTAATTACTTAGATAAGTGCTTACTCATAATATTGTGTTTTTTAAAAGACTGCAAACGATTTAAAAAAAATATATATTTTACAGACTAAAGTAGGAAAATTGGTAATATATTAGAAAATAAAACACTACCCTTTATTTAAGCCAATCACAAATCATGGCCACAGATAGCCAGCTTGTTTAATGCCTCTACCATGCCTCTAATGTTATGAAATCTACCTTTAAAAGTAACAGCTAAAGCCAAATACCAATTTTTATTTTGTCAGTTTCGATGTAAAATCTTCTTATATTAAAATTCCTTCCGAATACACGACACAATAAATTGCTGGTTTAGTATATCATGATGCTGATAATGATATGTGTTTTTTTTATTCATGTGTTTTAAAAACTCATAGATTTCGCAACCAATGAATTCCTTTTATTCTACAAATATGTTTGCCTCGTGGCTGAGCGATATATCTGAGAATCATATCACTAAAAATCGGATTACGATACTCGTGGTGGGCACAGCAGAGATAGCCAACTGTGTAGCTTTGAGCTTACCAACACACAAACAAACAATCAAAAAGTTTTTATATGATCAAATTGATGAAGAGCTTCGGGGCCTATGTCTGTCTCCCTGTACGTCTGACCAGTTTCTCTGTTTCCATATAAAACAAGCTTTATAAAAATTTCCTGTGACTTTGAAGTCTTATGCTAATGATTATGCTTTTGTTATCTTTCAAGATTTGCAACGAGTGTCTTGGTTTTCAAATGATCTTAATAACCAAGAAAAATCGAAACAAAATTCCAGTCGAAATTAGATTAATTGTATTAAAAATGTCTTCCAACTTACAGTTCACGACAACGTAATTACGTAATAATTTTAACTAACAGTAAATAACCAACAATTTATAAAATACTAATCTAGTAGTTACTTTCTTCAAGTGTATTAAACACACATGTGAATAATAGCACTTTCAGCGTGCATTTATTATCAAGATCACATACATTTCACGCCATTTATAATATGAGACAGGTACCAAAAGGCCGAATAACCCGTTATTATATTAATAGTTAACAATATGTCATTGTTATCTCTGTTTTGCTTAATTTCTCGAAAACAGTTATTTGTAAAGCATTATTCCTTAACAAATGGAGCTAATTAATCAGTTTTAACCACCAAATTATTCCAGTTTCATTTACGAACTTTGTAATTTATTAAACGTATAAGGTGTATCTTTGTGTATAAAATTGAATTCCTATAACAAGTCACGAGGCACGTGGATCTATAGAAGCCATATATTTATTACATTGGCAGTAGCGCTAACCCTGCATCTGAACTGGATCTATGCCTCAGACCCATAACGAGAATCCTCTATCTAGGGAAGTAATCCTATTTCATGGTACTCACAAAGTAATCCTACTACGAACGTATGTCGAAATACATCGGAAAAAAAAAAGTACGAGCTTCAGCCTTAAATAACTTAAACGATAGCCTTATGGCAATCTGGGTATCAGTAACAAACAAATTTGATGCACTTAGTCACCCCTATGAATAGAAAAAACAGACAGAACCAACAAGATAAAATAAATACAAAAAATCCTACGTCAGGTTAAGAAACCAACAACTAGCATGCTGAAAGGTGGAGATGTAACAATCAGTGGCTGTTGCTCATGTTTCTGTTAATAAAGTATGTTTATAATAAAAAATGTTTCTACATACATTTATCATGATTTACACAATTTACACTTCAAGTTCTCTAAAACAAAAATCGTTCTGCCGTCAACGTTAATGGGTATTTTTGATTTTCTGTATACGATTTCTCTTCAATTGCTTTACGGAAATATATATAACCTAATTGTGACAATTTTCATATTTCTACTTGATTTTTAGATATGAAATGGTAAGATTTTGAAGCTAGGATTACTATAACTTTTGTCAGTTTACAATTAGCTATGACTAGAGATTTGTTTGAGGTGTTAAAAGAATTAAATTTATGCAGCTAAGAAGTTTTAATATATACAAATTTTTATTTAATTATCAACTCTCCCACTATTGCATTTGCATCTTATGAGAGAAAAAAATGTAAAATACCATGAACCTTCTTTATCATACCTTCGTTAAGGTGGAAAAATTTCATCATTCTCAACAAAGCTCTATTTGAAATTATATTAATTATATGTATAATGTCTTCCAACATACAGATCACGACAACATAATTACGTAACAACTTCATCTAAGACTAAATAAACAACAATTTATAAAGTTTTGGAGCACTCGTGAAACTAAAGAAATAATGTTCTGGCAAATATTAAAGCTTTATTAAACACACACATAAATATATGTATAATAATATCTTCAGCGTGAATTCATCCAGATCACCCACATTTAAGGCCATTTGTGATATGAGCCAGGTAACAACAGATTACAGAACCAGTTATTCAAGATAATAACTGTAACCATAGCTACAAGAAAAACATTTTAATCAGTAATGTGGGACAGAGTTGCTAAATTTAGGTCTGAAAAAAATAAGTGTTGGACTCTAAAACTTTAAATACTCACAGTTCATATCAACTGCAACTGTCGTTTGCAATGGCGGTAGGTAGTTATTATTGATCGACATACACGTGAATGCTGCCATCAGATCATGACGCTGTAGCGCTGGGATTTCCAAAACATTTTTAACCCAGAAATTGTCTATTGTTTCATAAGAATCGTCCAATAACACAGATTCCCGCCACCAAGTAAGATTTGGTCTTGGATTTCCTGAAAAATAAGTAAAATAATAGTAAAAATTAAAATGATCAACCATAGCATGATTTAAAAAATATATTACTTGAATTAGGATTGCTACGGATTAGCCTTTCAATTTATGCATACTTTAAAGTTTATGAAATGAAGGAAGATACTTCATTATTATTTATTTTTGTTGAAAAATGGCTATCACATTTACATTATTAATTAGAAATAACACTGTTCATTAGTCTTAATATTTTGCATTTAAGAATAAGACGGTGGAAAAAATGAATAATATGTTTTATTAAGATTAGAAAAATGTCAGTATAAAATAGATATTTTAATAATGAAACTGACACATAAGTGTTTTAGTTAACGACTAACTAAGTAATAAAAATAAGTAAACGAAATTAATATATAAACATCTATTATAAATTGTATAGCATCGAGCGGTGCCTAGTGGTTAGCATTCCGGGCTACGGGTCGTGAGGTTCAAGAATCTAGCTCTTGATATATTTCTGAACGTACTTCACAATCCAGCTGTGTACGCATTATAAAGGTGATAATCAATCTTTCTAGTCAGTTTGTTTCCCGATGGGACAGAGGTAAGTTTATGGACTTTAAACGCTTTAATCCGGGGCTTGGTTCCCTGCGATGGACACAGCAGATAGCACAATTTGACTTTGCTCTAAAACAAACAAAAAATATACTGGTGTTATTAACTAATTGCTATTCCATTGCTTAGCATTTCTAAATCAGGTATGGCTATATTTCAACCTTGGGGACTTTGACTTAACATCTTAGCCCATGTATTGTATAAGGTGCCATTCAGGTGGAAACTACTATACCGCATCAAACTTCAGAGAAGTTGGAATCTTTTAAAATAAAATAAAAACAAGTGGGAGTTGAAACTCAGAACAAAATTAAGCTGTTGAAATAAATATGTTAAAAAGTGTGAATAAAAATAATAATTCTGTATTACTTTATTTCATTTAAATAGCAAGAATAGATGGCTTTTACATTACTTTTGAAAAGACAGGCGAAAAAATTAATTAAATAAAATACGTCTAAATCAAAGTAACCCAGAAGTAACAGTTAAAGAACGAAAACGAACTACGTAAATAATTAAAAATCCAAAATGTTTTGTACATCTTATGTGAAATCAAAGTTAATAGAAATTTATTAAGCCTAGGCAAATATAAAATCGATTTCAATTGTTAAGTGTTTGGAAGATCATATGACACCCAACAAATGCGCGTGGGAAGTTTTTCAGCAAAAAATAAAAATATTTGAAAACAAAGCCAAATCAAAATAAAAACAGAGTACCCTGGTTAGCAGATTTGGAGATGGGCTAATTCTCCCGAGAATTTTCTTGGTGAACTGGTTTGTCTAAAAGAGCTACGCTTTATATTCTTGTTGGTTGTTTCTTCTGCTGTGTTGGTGAAACCGTAGCAGCTGCATCAAATATTTCGATAACGCAGTTTACTCCTCTTATTTTTCTTTTCCATCGTGCTCACAACATTACTCTGGCCATTGATTGAAACAAATGTCTTGTCCACTTGAGCAAATGTTCTTCCCTGGACTTCTAGAAGAATTCCAAGCAAAATAAATCTTCTCATACTGAAACCCAAATTCCTCCAGTCTAAAGCAATAAATTCTTGCAGTAAAGGCGTAGCGCCCTCTGAGTTATTTGTTTGAAATTAACAATGACTTTCAGGGTCATTGTTTTATTCTTTATGCAAGCAGCAAAACATACTAAAGTAAGAATAAAAGAATAATAATCTGGGATAAAAGGTTACGTAATGGTTTACCAAATACAAACCTCCAGCGACTTCACATTGAAGACGAAGTGTATCTCCTTCATTATAAGGTCCTATTAAACTATGCTGGATTTGGCCGGCTTCGTTCTTTACTACTGGCTTTTTTGGAGGCACTATTTATTTGTGAAAGAAGGAAAGAAACCAGAAACAGTTTACAATAAAATTTTTCAATACATTTTTTTTGCTTCATAAATTCAGATAAAAACATCCACTGTACGTATGTTATACATCACAATATGCTAGAACAATTAGACGTATTTTATAATAATACCTGAGGTGTATACTGTTTCGCTGTCTTGCAGTTTTAGCAAGTTTTGTTAGAATTTCTACACCAATTTAGAGTTTAATTCTGTGTTTTATACCTATTCGGCTGTTCAAAGATGTATGGAAGGGATACGCTTACACCTTAAATTCTTAATTGTTTTACATATTTAGGGCTCAAGTGGGATCTAGAATCCATAGAACAATATATACATATATATTCAACTTCAAAATGTATTTCATTGCGACATTTTACGTTGCTTTATGACACATATAACGCAAATTACATCTGATCGTAAGGTTTATCTATCTTTGTCTGAAACATCAAGCATTTCAGTAGCGTCTATGTAGTTTATGAAATATTGTTGCCTAGGTCATTCCTAGTGTAAGACATGCTTTTAGTAAATACTTTGTTATAAGCATATCTTCTGTGATGTTTACCCATCTTGCAACGAAATCTTTAATAATGTTAGAACATTGCCATTTCGGGGTTACATTTCTATAATTTTTGGGCCTAAACATTTTAGTATTAGCAAAGAAGAATTCATAGTTTTAAAAACGCTCAAATCTAACGGTATTATTGCCATTACCAAAGCAGACTAAAGAAGAATACATTGACAAAGTAGCATAGGTAATTGGTAACTCTACTAAGTTTCCTGAATTATCGAAACACCGTAATGAAAACAAACTAACAAAATTCCTGCTAATTTTGAAGAAAACTATTGCTCTGGAAGATAATACTTATAACGACATTAGATCAAATGGTTCCTACGCGGGCACTCTTTATTGGTTACTTCAGATTCATAAATCTGATTGCCCCATTAGACCTGTTGTTTCCAAAATAGATTGCTTTAAACACAAAATCTCCAAATTATTATGTCCAATTTTAACTAATTTTACCTTTAATAGTTACACAGTGAAAAACAGCTTTGATTTTTTCTGATAACGTTAGAAACTTGGGACTTGATGAATATTTTTATTTAGCCATCTTATATATTGAGTCTCTGTCCACTAATCTTCCCCTAGATGAGACTATTAACCTTTGTGTTAATCTTGTTTTCAAAGACAAGGTATGTATTAATGGACTAGGCAGACAATCTTTCAGACATCTGGTGGAATTTGCCAAGAAATACTCTTTATGGTGAATTTTATGAACAGATTGATGGAGTCAGCATGGGGTCAAGTTTGACGCCTGTAATGGCTAATGTTTTCCTGTGTTTTCACGAGAATAGTTGAGTGAGGGATTGTCCAACTAAGTTCAAAATTCTTAATAACAATCGCTATGTTGATGACAGTTTTGTAGTATTCAAAAATGAAGCTTAATTAGCAAAGTTTGTAAAGTATTTGAATTGTAGACCTGTGAACGTCAACAGTGCTCTGCTCTGCCCTTTCTTTTTTGTTTTTCTGTTTTTAACGAACAAGCACGTTTTGTTATCAGATATCTACCTATACCGATCTATACACCCTCTTTAACAGTTTTTCTTCCACTTCACTTCAACAACTACATCTATCCAGGTCACTGAACTATGACGTCCCAAAGCTATAGGTAATACCGTAAACATGCTCATTACATGAAATTATATCTCTACCGTAAACAGGCTCACTACAGGTAGATCTCTCTCTCCTGTACGCAGACTCCCTACAGATAATGATCTCTCTACCGTAAACAGGCTCACTGCAGCTAATGATATCTCTACAGTAAACATGCTCACTACAGGTAGATCTCTCTCTCTCCTGTACGCAGACTCCCTACAGATAATGATCTCTCTACCGTAAACAGGCTCACTGCAGCTAATGATATCCCTACCGTAAACAGGCTCACTACAGGTAGATCTCTCTCTCTCCTGTACGCAGACTCCCTACAGATAATGATCTCTCTACGGTAAACAGGCTCACTGCAGGTAATGATATCTCTACAGTAAACATGCTCACTAGAGGTAGATCTCTCTACCGTAAACAGGCTTACTACAGGTAATGATCTCTCTACCGTAAACAGGTTCACTACAGGTAATGATCTCTCTACCGTAAACAGACTCACTACAGGTAGAGCTCTCTACCGTAAACAGGTTCACTACAGATAATTATTTCTCTACCGTAAACAGACTCACTACAGGTAGATCTCTCTACCGTAAACAGACTCCCCACAGGTAATGATCTATCTATTGTACACAGACTCCCTACAGGTAATGATCTATCTATTGTACACAGATGTTATTTATCCTAAACGTGAACCGAACTGTATGAAGTTACATATTATAGCATAAAAAAAGGAAAGCAAACACATATGTAAAAATAGTAGTAAAAAATTTAAGAAAAATAAAACAACTTCCTGAAAGAGCATTTTTTGAGTTTCACTGTTTATAATATCTTCTAGTTTGGTATAATGTTTATTCAATTTGTATTTATATTCATTATGGTCAAAATGGTTTGGTGTTTATGGTTTTATAGATATCACAAAGGGTCTTTGTTAGTCACGGGTTTTTGGCTTTTAATTATAATTAGATTTAGTTTTGTTAGATTGGATAATTACTGGATTCACGAAAGTTTAAGTAAATAAAGATATGGGGTGATTGTTTTATGGAAACAAATACTAATTTGTGTGAATTTCTGTAGGTTTCTGAAGTATCTTAAGTACATACCTTCCTGTTTCTAATATAGGTAGATAAATACAGTCTTGGATAAACATTTTGCATACTGTTCTATATTGATGTTATTGTCTACATGCATGGAGTATTTATTGAGTGAATACTCGAGTAGTAACAGAGAAGGTAGCGTATAATCGAACAAACATGTACAAGTTGTTATTCTGGTCTATATAAGTTATTTTAAGCATTTATTCTTCAAAACACACGTATAAATTTGTTTTGTATAAAAGGGTGTGCTTTTAGAATAATTTTTTTCGAAAGAGATCAACGTTTTGTTTAGACAATTTCTCTGTACTTGATGTCACGTGCCAGAAGTTATATGGCGTCAAATTTTTAGACTGTTCAGAAATAGTATGAAGCAAACAGACATTGTCAGAACGGTAGTGTGCCTACCCCCAATGTACTGTATCCAGGATCCTGAAACGTCATCGGACTATTGAAAAAGTTGTTCTCGGAAAGTATGTTGGTAGACGCTGCAAAACTGCTGCCCGAGATGACCATGTTTTGATCAGGTTAACACGTCAAAGTCGAAAGAAGTCTGGCAATACCTTACGAAAGGATTGGCATGAACACATTCATTGCAGGGTATCCAGAAGAACAGTGAATAGGAGGCTGAACAAACAAAATTATTTTGCAAAAAGGGCTATCTGGAAACTGGTATTAACCATAATTCACGGCCATCACTGTGTTACTTGCACAAGACAACATGCTAATTTACACTTAGGACACTGGCGACAAATAATCGTTTCAGACGAGGCCTGTTTCTAGCATGTTAAAGCTGATTGCAAGATTCGTGTTCGTCGTTTATCTGGAGAACAGATCAAGAAAGACTGTCTTTCCCACAGGAGGCTGTGCAGTACATGTTTGGGCAGCTTTTCATTATGGTGAATAAACTGCTCTTGGTATCCTCCAGGGAATTGTCAATGGCGCCTCCTACAGGCATCACATGGATATGATATTTCTGCCATATACTAAAGCAATGCTTGGCAATAACTTTGCATTCCAGGAATGCAATGCCACTGCCCACATTATGTGTATTGTGCATGATATTATCTTACAATGCCACTGAGAACTCTAGGACATAACTGAGCCGGAAAGTTGCTAACCACAACCATAAAGCAGCACTTCTAGTGACAAGCTGGGATGAAATCACTGTGGATTACATCAATAACCTCACCGACAGCATGTCACGTCACCTTGTGGAGGTTATTAGAGTACGAGGAGGACCAAACAAGTACTGAATGCTTAATATAAAGTGATATAAGGTTACAGGCGCTATTTATAATAATTTGAAGTTATATTTTGGTAAGGTTTTATTGTGATAGGTGAAATGCTGAATCACACATCTTTCTACAGGTGTCTGATAAAGTTGTTGATTGCTCTAATAGAACTGTCATTATACAAATCAGACATGTAGATATTTGATATAACACACATTTCTCAGTTTGACAGCACTAACTGTATTTGTATTCCATCTTAATAATAGTAATATTATTTGATACAAACTATACAAAACGTTTGGCCAAGACTATACCAAAAACAAATTTGTCACGTGTTTCACGAATAATTTAGGTTAGCTCATTTTCACTATGCCTTTTTTGGTACGAACCGCATGAAGGATAGCCTATTGATCTGAGAAGGGATTGGTTACTATTTTCTGTTAGCACTTTTTTAGAATTTGGAGGGAAAGTGACATTTTTTTATTTTCACGAAAGTAATTGTCATGCTGTTCGAAAATATAAATGCCCGTTATTGGTTTTACTTATCACCCAGTCATCCAAAGGTAGTAACTTTTTATTCATTTATTTTATTTTGTCTCGTGAAGAGCACCCTTTTTTTTCCCACAAAAGGATACAGAGAATAAATGGTGGTTTTAGTAACTAAACTTTTTGAGTCTCAGAACCCATATCTACTCTTCGTGTTGATTTATTTCACATGTGAGACTTGCAAATACGGTCAACTCTGAAAATGTATTAGACAGCGTATCCATACCATGACGTGGGACTTATTTTCGTAGAAACTGCACTTGCTGAGGCATATATTACTCTTCTTACGTTGTAGTATGACATTTAGTTTTACTTATCTGTATATATACGAGTTTATTGAGAATTGTAAGTTATAAGATAGGCCTATAGAGGATCTAACTCATACTCGGTTTAGTTTTAAGCTCCTCTCTCGACGTCGATCTCCTGAACTTAGAATATAAGAAAGATATGCAATGCAAACTAAAATGACGCCCCTTTTAATAATATGATACTAGTGACGGTAGGTAGATTTTTGACATATCCTACGAGGTGATTCGTAGTTTCTTACTGTGAATTTTATATAGTAAACACCATGATTATGTTTACACCTATCTTTCTTTTAATTTGAAAGCTATAGAACTATTTTATGAAACTAAAAAGTGTTTGTATAATTTCTTTCTTCTAAACGGCTTTATTTATGAAATCAATGTAGCAATCATTATGAATTAATATTTCGGGTCAGCGAAAATGCAAACTAAGAGGTCTTTCAGAAATTAGTGTAATTCAGGATTTGATATTTTGGACGAGTTTAAGTACTGCAACAATCAAAGATTAAAAATGATTAAAGAGGTCTTCTGCTTTAATGTTAGAGTTTGTGGTTTGATTGTTGTCTAGCTTTATGTCGTTCAAACATTGTAGCCATTATTTCATTTCGGTAAGACGAAAAAATAATGTTGAACCGATAATTTAACTAAGACATTTAGTAACATTTCTTGAATATACTACGTTTTTTAAGGAATACGGGTCTATTAGGCCTCAAAGGAACTGGTGTAATTTGATGAAACATGATTCACAACAGCGTGAAGGCAGGAGCTAGAATTAGTAATGACTTTACACTTATAAAAACAAAAACTAAAGAAAAGTTGAAAACCAGATATAATCCCCTCATTCACTTTAACAACAATTCTAAAGCTGAAAACAGTTTCATTTGGCATAATAATTATATTTTCGACAACACGAATAGTTTAAGATCCACCGTGAGACAATATAGATAACACATTTGGAACTGAAGAAAATCATAGCCATAAAGAAAATTAAGAACTTGTCAGTTAAGTTTAGATTACAAACAATACATGACAAACTAAAAATATTGGTAAACAAGTGTAGTGTTAGCAAAGGGTGTTGAATAAATATTGGTTATGATATTACAAGCACCATCATCTGTGAACTAAACATATTGCAAAAAAATATTGGGACCCCAATCCTCAACTTAGTCGCGTCTTTGTAATGAGCTTTTGTAGTTTGTTTTCCAGTAAAACGTACAAATAGACTGTTTAAATGTTTGTTTTAAGTTCCACCAACATGACTGGAAGTTCTATGAAATACTTTACTCTTAAATGTTTCAATGTAGGTTACAAATCATAGGAATTCAAAAGTCAGACTGATTTTTTTTACATATAAGAAGAATGCATAATAGCATTTCATCTACATTTTAGGTTGTAGGTCTTGCCAAAAGAAGCCTTTAGACAGTCAGAACAAATAAACCACAACCTCGAGACATCTTTGATACAATGTTATTTTACAACAGTCACTTATTAGACTGATTGAGAATGAGTTAATCAAAAATGTTTTAATTCACCATATTTCATAACCTATCGGAAATAATGTTCTCACAGATTAGGTGTTAAAAACAAAAGCACGGTATATTTGCATATAAATGTATAAAGAAACATGCATTCTGTGTCTTTTCCATGTCGTATACTTGTTCCTTTTAACTTGTCAAAGAAAAGTCGTCAATTATAAACAAAAATTGTATTATGGCTAAAGTCATGTTTAATACGTACGTTATTAAGGAATAAACTACCTGTATCTCAAAACCATATTATCATATTATAAGGTAGTTTCTCTCATAATCAAAATTGGGAAGTTTTTGGATTTGTCTAGAACTACTGAAAGGGGAAGAATCCCCGACACTGGTCTAACTTAATGATAAGTGGGGAATAGAACGATAGACATGACCTTACGTTTCTTTGTCGAATGATTTCACAATTTTGTTGATGAGAAGAAAAAAAAATAAATAGTTTATCTACTAAATACTTCAAAAGTACAGGTTAATAGTATTAAAGTCACTTTTTTTTTTAAAACACATATATAAATATATATTTACTTTGGTGAGAACAAGACTATAAACTTCATATATATATATATAAATAATATTATTTAACACTTGTCACACCAGCCAACCCAGCACCTTGATGTGGATTAAAAAATAGAGTCATTCCTGAAAAATGTGGATTGTTTCGATTAGACAATAAGACGTTTGACACTGTTTTCGACGTCTAGGTCACTGGACCAGCCATGTGATCTGACCCGAAGGACCATGAGAGCCAATATGGAGAAGTTAACTTTAAATGTAAAGCAAAACGATGTAGCAATGAAACATGTTTGATACGTTCTAGATGTGGTTGTTAATGTGATGGTTTAGGTGTAGCGATTAAGATAAACCATGGGTCCAGATCGGATGAGGGAAGAAATTATTCGAAGATACCCCAATCGATTTAACACATCAGCTGAATCGGAGATACTTCATTTGATTACTGCATTGACAGCGAAACATGAAAGAATGGACACAGCAGTATCGGAAATTTCAAAAAGGGGAGATTGGAATCATATATAAGAAACTATTAGTTTCAACAGTTTGTGAAACTTATGGCACAGTAAAGTCCAAACATGCAGTGTTGGAGTTGAAGCAGATGCATGATACATTATAAGATAATATTTTGTATCGATTCTCAAATTAAAAGTGTCATTTCTGCAATGAAGAGTAACTATAAGAAGGATGGTATAATACTAGTATTACCATAGTAACTATAAGAAGGATGGTATAATACTAATATTACCATAGTAACTACAAGAAGGATGGTATAATACTAGTATTACCATAGTAACTATAACAAGGATGGTATAATACTAGTATTATTATAGTATAATCCATATAGCTTTAACCATGTCATATTTTCATTAATATTTAGTTTTTTTTTTCGATTTAGAAGTTTTGCCGACCTTCATTCATCATGATCTATCGAAATAACTCTATATTACCGCTTTCCGGAATGACCCTCCTCTTGACCACCTTAGGTTCAGTGATAAAACATGCTGGGCTGATTCGTGTGGCACGTGTTAAAATGTCTCTTTAGGGCGTGTTCTGGAATTTTTTGTTGTTCACACAACAAAGAAATTTCAAAGAAACTATTATTTTGAATATTAAAAATATCGTATAATCATGAGATATACAACAGTTTTTCATATCATATGTTGTATATCATATATGATTTTCATATCATATCATAGGTTTCATATGTTGTATATCATGAGATATACAACTAGTTTTTTTTTTTTTACATAATGTCTTGTAAGCTATAAAATATAAATAACACAGGAAACAGTGAATCATCCGAAACGTACGTTCTTCGTACTTACGTTAATTCTACTTGCCTAACTCATTCTCGTTGACACCCCTGAAAATGTTTCGCCTTACAAAAGGCTTAAAGCCGAAACATCGGACGACTAACAGTTCACTTATAGCTTCTTTCTTTTATTTAAATACACTTTTCGAGTAATTAGAACAATACGTAGTTCAAAACTGAGAACTACAAAACACATTTAGATATCATCTCTAAGATTATACCACTTGTAGCTTGATAAGTGAGCAAGGTCAAATTGCAATAAACTATATGTTATACCAGGCTAATACTTAATTTACCAAAATATCAATTGCCAGATATATTGATATTTTCTAAACTGAAATCTTGCATGAAAAATTAAATAAGATTGGTTATTGACAAATGAAAGATACCGAATAACCTACCTGGTAGTAGAAGATCTAGAAACTGCGTGCAAACTTAGTAGTATAAGAGCTAATGGCTGCCTAAAACTTACCATGTAGCACTAGGTCTAATAGCAGGGCGACAGCTACCTAGTAGTATAGAAGCTAATGACTTGGTAGCATGACTGTTTATATCATGAAACATCTGAAAACGAAATATTCTTGATTGACAGCTACCAGACTATGCCGCATAATGCTATCCTAGTTTACTGTATTAACGAACATCAAAACTTTTAAATAACGTTTACTTAACGGGTATTTCAGGAAGATATGTCTTTTTTTAAAACAGACAAATTAGGACTCTTTAGTTAAGTATTATTCTATTTCCTGGAATAAAAGCTGAGCCAGGTATTCCAGCTAATTGTAGCTTACTGTAAAGTAATCAATTTATATCAGTTCAATTTTGAATTAGAAGTGAATAGATAATTAGGAAGGAGAAATCCAGAAGTGGGCTTAACCGAATACATATTATTAGGGACAAATTTTCATTTACTTTTATGTCCTTAAAAAAAATAAAAAAAAACATTTAATCCTAAGTTAATGATACTGGTTCTGTGGTTTAGCATTTTCCTAAGTCTCAAAAATTGGGTATTAAACAACGTAGAATAACAAAAAAACAACAACATTGTGCTTTAAAATTAATGGTGTAAATTGTTATAGTTATTGGGCCAATTACTTTCTCTAGTTATAGATAATTATTGTAGTGAAGTAATATAATTTCTGTTACACAGACTTTGAAATCAAAGTCAAACCATGCGTTGCACAAAATGCGCTCATGTGCCACTGTGGTACTTTTATTAAGTACAGTTTTTGTTTTTTCTACCATATAGATAAAATATAATTATTGCTTTTAAGATAAAGTTCTCTTATTTTTGCTTTCTTCTTAATCGCTTGTTTGTTAGATAATTTCTAAGATTAAAATATAATCAACTTATTTCACTACACTGTTAAAGATAAAAAAACACAAACTAAGACTTTATTAAATTTACTGATAAGCATAACGTTTATACGATGTTATTTTGATGAAAACAGTTCCATTCATCTTACAATAAACATTAACTGTATTTACAAAGTCATTAAAAAACTGACCGGGAATGTTAAATTTGACTTATGATTTCTCCTTAATGTTTTATTATTGCCGAAATCATTTTTCACAGATAATTTATTGGATAAGTAGATAAATAATTAGAACCTATTATTCTCAACCCCACTTCTAAGTAGCGTGTTCGAGCTTTGCGAAAGTCCACCCGACAAAGAAAGGCTCCCTCGTCTTCTTTCTGGACTGGATTTAACTGAAGTCGAGCCATAGTTCCGGTAATGTTGAAATAGGTACGAGATGCCATGCTGTCACTCTTCCAATGTCTTGCTGTATCCAAACTGCCGTGTCTAGCGTCGAGACTATAAATCGGTGATGGAGACTTATCAGTGTACCATAACACCAGGTCCAAGTTATCATCTAAGGTGTCGGGTGTGATATTACAGGGTAGGTCTACTTTCCTTCCCGGAACCACATACAAATCGTATCTTTGAACTAAGGGAAAATCCAAAAGGTAGTTTCACACCACAAAGTTACATAATTATGCTAATTTGTTTAATAAGATAATGCTATTAAGAACTTTACATACTGTGTTATGTGTTGGCTGATAACAGTTGAGTTAAATTCAGTTTTACGATTAACGTGTTTTTTTAATGTGAATGAAATGCTATATTATATCGCAAAAAATAGTTCATTCCTCAACATATGTCATTTTACTCAGCAAGGACTTCATAAGTTTCTATATAATTAAACTATAATTAGTGCAAAATGTAAAAATGAATTTGTACTTCTTTCATTGAGTTGGAATTTCAATGTATGCCATTCCAATATCAAATCCAAACCAAAACAAGGCAGATATACTGGATAGGAAAAATGAATCTTTGCTAAAGACCAAAGATGATACATTTAAAATTTTTAAACTGAAAATAAAACATATTTTCCATGCTTTTCTATTGCTCTCGTAATTTTTAGGTAAAAAAGCAAAGTTATATATTTGATATTTCCTAATGCTAAACGATAGCAAAACAACAAACAAACAGTAAAAGTCATTTTCCTGAAAACAGCTCATTTTAGATAGAAACTGTGTTGTAAGGAACAAACGTACACAGGTGCATATTCCGTATATATATGTTTTCTGTGCACAGCGAAGAATCGAACCCCAAATTTTAACATAATAAATCCGTAAACATACCGCTGACCCATGATAAACTATGATAAATTTATTGTTGTCACCTTCCGATACTTTTAATAGCAAAATTATATCACTAAGTAGTTTATTATGACTCACGGAACAATGTATGTATATGTTAATTGAAGAAGACAAAAACAATATAGCTTAATGGCATATTACTTACTGCTTATCCTGTAAACACTTTCGTTTTGACCTTAAAAATAAATTATTCATATGTAAAACTATACTTGAGCCCATTTCTATATATTAATTTCTGAAGCCAGAGATATGAAGCAAGCTGTGATGTGAGAATGAAATTTATGCAAATACGTTTTCTTAGATTTTGTTGATGCTGAAATTGTTCTTCATTGTTTATGTTGTTTAGCATCTTTAGTGACAATAATAATTATTTTAAAACTCATTTTATGATGACAACTTGATACGCCCATCAACAAGCGCGTATATTGAAGCTAAAAAATATGAATATAAGTGCTTTGGAGTTAAAATAAAGACCTTACATAATAATAATAGACTGTATTTTCTGTATATCATGCATAGATAATTTCGCTCTGATGTCCCAAGAGGCACTCTCACGGAGTACATTTACTTAAAAGACTTTCACAATAATGGGAAAGGATTGGTGCTAACAGCGGAAAAGCAGGCCATATGATGAACATGAGATTGGATAGATATGTCAAACGACTGTACGTCGTTTCTGTCACCCATTTAATGGGTGCAGTCAGCTATGATAGATGGTAACCACACACCATAATGCTATCAATCATTTTCTAGATGATCAGTGAGTGAAGCTCAACAGAAATACTCACTTACCATTCTCATCTATATGCAGTGCTTTAGGAGGGAAGCTGTTGGTGGTGAAGTTTTATGACACACAAATACTCCAATCTTCTCTCACCATTAAAATATCGTCAAAAGCGCATGACATTTAAACAGGCTAATATAGCTGCGAGACAAAATCAAATGTGACAAAATGACATCGCGTAATTAATAAAAACATTGAAAACTGTAAGCAGCGATTAGTGTCATCTGTTATAAAGAAGCTCGTTTTATGTAAGGATAAGTCGAGTATAGCAGTAAAACTTTTCACAGACTAACATAATTCTGAATAATAAGCACGTTACTAAAATTTGCATACCCTTTTACATAGGCTTCAGGCGTTGAATTTTTATCGAACGTCAAGGAAATATAACAATATCAATTACTCTCCTCAACAATATCACCAATAACCAGTAATTATAATCTGCTAATCAAAGAACTAGTTGAGAAGTTTTATCTTATCGTAGCATATTCCAAGACCCCATGCTATTTTTCAGAATTAGCATATGGTTGAGGACAGACAAAGAGTGTTAGATTCTAGAATTTCTGATAACTCTTACGCTTTTTAAAATGTAGAATTTGTAGATTGTACGGTATGAAGTATCATATGACATACAAGTGGATTAAGCTTCGATAGAACTTTTTTTGTAAGAACACATTATAGTGAAGTTATATCTAAATACATGCTATAAAGGATGCTATTTTGTCGGGATAAAAAGTTTCACACTGGAAGCACAAAGGACAAGTTTCATGCAAAATCAAGATAGTTTAATTTTATATCCTTATCGGAAGTGCTCGAACATTATAATCATATAGTAGGTGAAATATATTTCTCAAAACATTTATTATTTTTGTAATGTGTTTGAATTTTATAATAGAAGTGTTACGTAGTTAGTTTTGTTTTGACTAAGAAAAAGGCAAGATATACGTAATCATAATGTATTTCTCACAGAGTTCTTCCATTACATAAAAACAGAGAACAATATTTTACAAAAGTAAAAAGTTGTTGTATTTATATACAAGATTCATAAGAGATTAAAAGGAACATATGAATTATAGCAATACGGAGAAAATTAAGAAAACCAGTTATAAATGACCATCTAGTATGATCAGAATATGTTATGAAATCATAGGAAAAATAAAAGTATGCAATAATAATAATGATTTAATTTGATTTTTACATGTACATTATATAGCGATACATAGAAGTTTCATTTAAGCACTCGGTGTACAAAAGAAGCTTAATAGTGACTATATTAAATCAAAAACATTTTTAACGGCGATATGCAGCTTACTATTGCCATGAACGCATTAGAGTATTTAGTAGAAACACAGAAAGTAGAAGAAGAATGAGATGTAGGTAGGATATTCGTATTATAAGAAACCTACTGTTGTTCTAAAGTTAAACGGTAGGGGGATTCAGATTACCTGCCTAAGATTTATTTTTTTAATCGCTTAGCTTCACAAGCTTGTACACCATGAGAAATCCAAACATGGATTTTAGCATCAACTTGCCACTGGTCCATCGGGAGGACGTTTAGTTTCGTAAGCAATATTAACAAGAGTTGTGAAAAACTAATCTTTTCGGTATAAATAATTCAGGTTGCTTTTAACGTTAATAGTTTAGTGTCACCAAAAGGTTTATACTGAAGAAAATACAGAATGTTTTTTCTAACGTCTCTAATGCAATTTCAGTGTAGAAAACACTCTACCACTGGTTTTCGTGAGAATGACTTATAAGAGCTGTCTCATGCACGGCTTTATCATTTCATCAGTATATAATCATTTATATTACGTTTGGGAAATTGGCATTGTTAATTAACACACTACGTTCATAGGTGATTCAGCTAGATTGTCGTTCATCACTTAATATTACACAACATTGTACTATACTTATTCTTACACAACATTGTACTATACTTAATATTACACAACATTGTACTATACTTATCATTACACAACACTGTACTATACTTATCATTACACAACACTGTACTCTATTTAATATTACATAACACCGTACTCTATTCAACATTACACAACACCGTACTCTATTTGATATTTCACAACACTGTACTATGCTTATCATTATACAACACTGCACTATACTTATTATTACACAACACTGTACTATGCAGATCATTATACAACACTGTACTATACTTATTATTACACAACACCGTACTCTATTTAATAGTACACAACACTGTTCTATATTTATTATTACACAACGCTATTTTAAAGACTTTCGGCAGCTATTAATGTATTTTAAATTTATCTTAAATGAATAGATAATAGATAATTGGATAGATAGATTTCAAAATTGTAGTCTTTCGATGAACAATACGGAGATCTTGAAAACGGTAACTTTTAATAACCAATTTTGTTCTACTATAAACCTCTTAAAATATATTAATAATAAAAAATATAATAAATGTGTGTTATGGGAAAACAATAAAAACAAATATGTGGTAACGATAATAGGAAAAGCATTTCGATTTGTTGCTGTATTATTTAATTTACTCTTTATATACATGTTTTAATCAACCGTTCAATGTAACGATATCAACACATGTTTTCTAAATGTTCGTATTGTGGCGCCACTGTTTTCTATTCTTGCTTCACTTGACTTGTTTAAATTTTTTTTTAATCACGAAACTATTCAATGAGCAATCTGAATTCTGTCCATCAGGGGGGAAGAGAACCCCGGATCTTAGTATTGTAAGTCCGGAGCTTACCGTTGACCTAGAGAGGGACCAATAATGTAACCATATAAAGATTTCTCCCAAGTACGGCTGTACAGGGGAAAACAACATTTCTAAGAGGCAGTGCTATGCTATCTATAATGTTTAATGAGAAAAGATACATGAGACTTACATTAGCGAAATGGAAGACTTATTAAGTCTCATCTTTCATTTGCCACAGCTCACTCTTAATTTCTGGCTTAGGTGAAAGATAGAATTTCAAGCTACGCTCAGCTTGAACATTGTATGTGATTAATTACACCACCATTTGTTTGTCTTAGTCATTTGCCATGAAGCCTTTAAAAATGACGAATTATTACCAATAAGCATAATGAAACAGAACACAGATCCTGGAAAAATAAACTTTCTAGTTCCATGTCTTTTAAATAATATTGTAATATTTAGTGTTCGAGTTTGCTTTCACATAATTCTAATACTGGAGGTAATAATACATCAGACCATCAGGGTGAAGAGCATCCGCATTAGCCGTCCTAAATTTAGCAGTGAGAGACTAGAGGGAAGGCATCACCACCCACTCTTGTGTTACTATTTTACCAACTAATTGTGGGAGTGACCGTCGCTTTATAACACCCCTATGTGTGGTGGGACTGGGGTTCGAACCCGCGATTTTCAGATTGCGAGTCGAGCGCCATATCCACCTAGACGCCAGGCCCACGTGGTGAAAGTGATAGCATTTGAATTAATTATATTTTATAGTATTTACATGTTATTTTAGATATTGT